GATTGCTCATACGAAATTAAGTATCCAACAAAAAAAATCAAGCTGGCTATAAACTGAAATACGATATAGTAAAGGTGGCGTACACGTACAGATACGAGCCAGTGGAAATAGGGAGTATGTAAGAAACTAATTTATTTTTAAGAACAATTTGGGGCAACCACGATGTGGAGGTTGCACCATGTAAATGTAGTTACAACGGGGGCATCTCTTCACGGCCAACGAAGCTGAAGCATTTTTAGATGAGATACTGTCAACACTATTATAAGCAATACGGCCTTAAAAACCCCGCAATCATTATGTAGTTCTATTATCATTCAGCAGATTCTAGCTGACACGCACATATGTACAGATAATCAAGAGCAATAAATAATTATTAAGGCGAACTTGTTTTGCATATGAATGAAGTTTGTACTCGTATCACCCATCCGCATAGCCAACAAGGACCAACTGTCATGCCATGTGCCTTTCTCGATGGTCCTACAATTTTCGAAGTGTATCTATCTGATTGAGATCTTTTTAATGGAGGTTATATTTCGTCTATATTCGGTTTCGTCGTAAATGTTAGTGAATTTGGTAAGCATATATAGGGATCGTATATCCTACACGAAATTCCAGCAGGGATTTCCAGCAGAGCGCATAAGCTATACGACTTTAGACTTGGCGGAGTTTGCACAGTTCAAAGCGTTCTTTTACGCTAGCTACCTAGCGGTTGTATTTTTGATATTATCACACCTGTCATACACTAAAATAAACGTTTCAAAGATTACGTCTGGTACTTTAGCCGTTAGGTACTGTTTCAGATGGCAGTCTGGATGAAACGCGTCTATGTTCGGGTTCGAATCCCGTCGCTCGTAAGCTTATTATACAGACTGGTTACTACTGCCCCATCGTAACCGTATCGAAATTCATCAATAAAAACATAACGAGAACGAATAGAATTTGAAAAGGCATGAGATAAGAAATGTACAGTCGATTAAAGCCTGAGATTTTACTTTTACACTGGCCTAACGCATTGCAGACAAATTTGGGACTGTCTAAACTTACTTAAACTTCTGTCATTTTGTTCCTTCGTTCCAATAATCTAAAAGGGTAGCAGTACGTCGGCAGTGCATCAGATCTTCATCGTATAAATCATATATTATCGCAGGTGTATTTTGATTGTTGAACTAGAATAGCTCGCTGGCCTGAGTTTTGGGCCACTTTTTGTTTTATACTTTGAATATTTCTCAGGAAAGATTTGAAAAATTTAATTAGAAACTAATTTTGTCAGAATATATCCTCCACTAACAACTGCATAATGTATCGATAATAATCGAGCGTTGAGTCGGCCAGCATTGAATAAAAATTAATTTGATTTAAAGGTAGGCTATTGTAGCTAAGTTACTAGCTAACAAGTTACTAAGCTGAGAAATACTTATATACTTTATTATCATTGCTAATCTTCGTAAATGAAATTTAGTTCATTTTCTAAGCAACTCCTAAGGAATGAGCTCTAATGAGTGGCAGGGTATGGTGTATGGCGGCAAACAAGACGCGCCCATTATGCGTAAGTTTCACAGCGTTTGCCCTCACTAACGGCCGTTTAGTATATTCCATGTTTTCTAAAAATTTGAATGAAATAACCATTCTGCGAAATTCAGAGGTTCCGTCGTTTGCTTTTTCAGAATACGCTCGTAAATAACCCTCTCTATTCGTTTTTACGATGAGATTTTTATCTGAAACGATGCCGATGACTGTAAATCGATCAGTCAAACCTGCTGGAAACGGTATCAAACGAGCGCCGATTTGCTCCGGTAAACCAAGACCAAACCTACGAAACTGCATACATATACATATGTGATGATTGTTTAGGATGCTGTCAGTAAGCGGGGTTATTCGCAAGAAGATAAACAAATGATTGAATAGCTCTTCTCTAATGGTCTCAAGCGATTACTTCAGTTACAGAAATGTACTAGATTTGATTTTACACCAAAGTAACACACTTTTTCTGTATAATGACAGCGCGGGGCTCGCCTAAGCTGTTACACGTATGGCCTTCGTCTATCTTCGATTCAATTTCTACTTATACTTCAGGCTAATAAGTGTTACTATTATTACGAGAAATAAAACATAAAGAGGTACAAACTATACCAGAGATCAGTAGCGAGCGCTCATGTTAGCGCACACTGCTTAAACGAAACCTCTATATCATTCAGACTATAATTAGTAACATTTTGCCATTTTGATTTAACAGAGAGACACACAGGATTTCAAGTTACCTTCAGACATTTGCTACTATAGATTTTGCCGAACTTAGCTCAGATTAATAACGAAATGCAGCTAGCACGATTACCTTTGGAAACTCTTGAATTGTATGTAGCTTACGAAAAGCAGAATTAATTCGAAATGTTCCACGCTGCAGTTGTCTCATTAAGCGGTAGCTCGAGCGAGTTGTTTTTTTTGACCGAAATAGTTTAATTCACTCTATTGAAAGCATTAAAAATCGGGAGTATACATAGTAAAATACACATTTACCATTGCATTTTGTTCCTCAATATGGGTCGTCCTTCTGTATACTAGGTTCTATCCGTGGATCTCAGTTATTACGCATGATTGAAAAACTTTGCAAGTGGTTTACAGTGATTTTATCGAACAAGAAGCAAAGCTGTGAGCGCTTAGTTTATGCAAGCTTTCTCGCTTTCTTCAAGCACAAGCGTAATTAATAATACATTGAATAGGCCTAGGACTACGGCATCCTGATGTGAACATTTTAATAAGCTCGACTGCATATGGGACCGTTATAAACGATCAGGCGAGACGCAGCGTTTCTAGAGGCAGGATCGTACCCCATCGACTTCAATGCATCAAGCGTTACACGAACCTAGGGCTATATGATCTATATCTAGGACTAGGGGAGACGCGTCCGAACCGACGGAGGAAACAGTATTGAAGAAAACCACACGTTTTCCGTGAACGATTAGTGCAACAGCATCTTCATTGCTTTCAGTACATCTAGTTGCATAGTTCAAAAAGGCAGTAGTCTTGAAAGGTGCTGTTCATCTAAAGGACGCTGTTTTACAGCAGTCCTAGCCTGCAGACTGTGCAGAAAGACTTTCACCTCAAGACTCAAACATGTTGAGTCGGTCGTTTTGCATTGTTTAGCACAAATACCGAAACGTTCGGGCCGTGCTTCGAAATTTATGGGGTCTTTGCGGATACGTCGCTGAGCAGAACGATATAAGGCTCTGCTGTATTCCACGAACACAATATGCGTGCTATTAACGCGCGCTAAGTCTCGCTTCCATCGAATGTGGACCCCATAGCCCCCAGGAGTCGCCGAAATGGAAATATCTTCGTTCGTGGGGATTTATTTTATCGATCTTTTTTTCTTATTAAATCTAATCGCTATATGATCAGATAAAATTAACTTATCAGACTGAATTTGTTAGCTTTGGAGACCTAGTAATAAGTTCAGATAGTCTGCTACTGATGCTGAAATGGCTTAATATTTACTCTATTGCAGATCTAATAGAAAGGCAAATTTTGATTCGTTTACCCACGCAAATTGAAATCACCCGGAACAAAAGCCGTTAAATCAGTGTCTTCCACTTGCCCTTTACGTACGTTTCCGCTTTCTGCATTTGCGACCTAGTACCGAAGCATACCGAAGCAGAGTTAATCGGCATCGAGCAAACCAAACATTTGTTTCAGAGAGACCTTCGTCCTCAAAAACACACCAGGTCGGCAATTATACTGCTCTAATGTACGTCACGATTTACCTCGGCCAAGGAAACAGCTGAAAACAGCTGAACCACACTTCTAATAGATTGAAAATAATATACGATTAATATGCTTTAAGTTAAAGTTGAAAAGCATTTTAAAAAGGATTTTAAGTTAGTTGAGGACTACTACAACCGATCGCTGACCTGATAATCGAAGTTTCGCATTTGTTAGTGGAATGAAACGCGACTACAATGAGCACCAAGAGATGGGGGTCACATTTACATTGGAGCGATTGGGAGCGAACATGGAGAATGAGCATTCATAATGTAGGAAAAATTTTATGCGTCTACGGTGGCGATCTACGGTGGGCAGTCCGCTGGAATTTGGCTGCCTCCGTCGGTCTACCTCCAGGGGCCCTGCGTTCAGAAAGGTTGGAGAAGGAGAGTATTCTCGATTGAAGTTTGACGCTGGAGCCCTTGGTAAAACCTGCGAGATACGGCACAAGACCGCGGCACCTGGTGACAGGCTAACCTTCAAGTGTCGTCTATATTGTGGCAGCTGAAACGATTTCAAGCGGTACCTTTATACGTGGAACCGTACATCTTTTTTAGTGGTGAGCAAAGCCTTTCTTTTTTCCTTACTTTCGTTAATCATAGGCATAAGCTGTAACAGGTACCGTTTATATTTATTAGTCAAAACTCAGCATGTTATGATAGATTCGTCGTTTAATGACAGTTCACGCTCTTTAAATTGCTAACCTGCTATGATAAACTGCGTTGAATGAGATGAGCGTTGCTACTTTTTATAAATCGATCATCAATAATATATAAAGTTTACCGACCTGAGTCCGATTACATAAAATAATCAAAATCTTATTGGAATCAGAAGGTGTTATAAGCTTTGTTCAATCATTTTGAATTTGCTTAACTGTTGACAGGAAAAATTCATTAAAAAAATACATTAGATTTATAATAATCTCTTTACCGCTTACGAGGGGTTGCGGTAAAGAGATTATTATAAATTGTGCTGAGATAGTTAACAATTAAATAACGTATTCTATATAATTAAAGAAATATATTTCTATAAAGTTAGATACAAATATAGTTATGAAGTTAGTAGTTGTTAACACTTCATTTCCACTGCAGGAATATTTAATATGCATATATTAGAAGTATTATTTTTGCTACCAGCAGTTGATACTTTTTATTCGGAAATGATGAAAAGAAGCATTGCCACGTTATCATTCGTACAGATTCATGCATGCTTTTGTATAGTTAATGCATATTACAGTAACAGATTTTTGTACGTTGCTCTTCTATACTCACGGCCTGCGTCAGGCCGAGATAAGTACATAAAATATATCCGAAAGATTTAATCAAAGAATTTTTCTTAGAAAATTAAATTTGTCGACCCAATCGCCTATTCGTCATCCTCTTGATTGTCTACGTTGGCTGGTTCCGTTGAGGCGTTAGGGTCATCGATAAGTCTAATCTTCATCGAGAAGCAACCTAGCTTTTCTTCGGCCTCGGACTTCGCGTCATCGTCGATGAAGCGGACGAAGGCCGTAGTCTCAATCTGTAAGTACAGCAAGATTTTTTTAGTATAAGAAACACCAGAACGTAATAACGACGGAAATATGTAAACCGAATTGATCTTGTGCCACAGAATCTGTTAATATGGCAAAATTTTTTGGATGGATAAATAAATAACACGAATGTAGAAATATTAACGGGAAGATACAGAGACGGAGTTTGTCCTTATGGCATAATCTGTAAAAATAGCGCAAAACTTTTCAAACGTATGAGACAAATGAAGCGTATGTAGACACGATAAACATAATGGTAAGATATAACAACAGAACTTATGTCGATACGACACAGAACCTGTAAATACAGCAAGGTCTTTTTGGGCGGATAAATAAATCCAGGAATCACCTAGAACTAAATATGAAATGATACCAAGAACAAATCTGTGTCGTTTCGACAGAGAACAGAAACAGGTCTGTTTAACGCCTTTATGATTCACATTTGTTTGTACGATCATCACGACGTGAAGGACGAATTTGTCCTAAGAATAATGATAATACTAGGTAATGTTGAGCATGCACTAACTGAAAATAGACGCGAAAAAATAAAAAAAAAAAAAGCTGTTGGTCACTTTAGCCTGATACTGCCCTTGACAAATTTCAGTAATACGAAAAACGAAGCAAACAATTATCTAGTTTACGCACTCGCCCAAATAATTCCTCAAAAATCCTTAATTTCCAAATGTTCTGCAGATATGTTTTTATTATTTTCCTTTAACCCTGCTGTCTATGATATATCACGGTCTGCTTTCATTTCTATACTGACATACATTTGGGAACACGCTGAGAATTGGTAGAACCATTGTGGTGGTGTACTCTTGGCCGGCTGTCTGCGGACAGAAGTTTTCATTGCCAGGGGTTTTGCACACATAACGCTTAAATCCTGGGAAGGGTAACTCTGCTTCGCCAACGAATCCAGTGATTAGCACCTTAACCACTTGGGCGCTTCGTGCTGTTATAAGATAACAACGTATACAAGGTGTTAGCTTATGCAACTAGACGCTGATGCGCGCCACAATTCAACATGTTAGATTTCAAATTTTTTTTTTTTTTAATGTGTATTTTACCCACATCGTAAAAGCTAAATTTATTATTAAATCATTAAAACATTTACCCGGTAAACGAATGTGTTAATATCGTAGTAAATGACCGCGCAAACATGACTCTGAGTATATATGATATATCTGATACATGTTATGTAAACATAAGTTATTTCACTTCAAATTAGAAACGACCGAATAAACTTCAATAGTATGGATATCTACAAAGCCTGTAAACTTTTACTTACGTGGAACATAAGTGACTCTTAGGAGATGATTGTGTCCCCGGATCAACTCACAGAGGTCCTCTTTTGTACAGTTTTCTACTTCAACAGACTTGATTGTCGATAAACCATCTAGTGGGCATAATAGCAACGCATCAATAATAACAATAATATATATATTAAAAAAACATTTACTCTCTGAGTAAAAGCTGAGATCGCATCATGTGAACAAATACTAACGAACACGTTATGCTAGCTATGTGACTCGTAATGATTAATATTAAAAATGAGGTGTTGTCGAAACGCCATTCACTTTCTAAGTAGCAAAATTGGGAAAAAAACCACATAGAGCTCGCGTTACTTAGCGTCTGAATGCATGATTAGTTAGAATATAATGTAAATAGTAGTATTTCCTGCTAACTATTCTCATATGTAAATAAATAAAAAAAAATATAACTTTTTTTTAAATATATAATCTATTTATTTATTTGTTTTTATTTTTCTTATTTAAATAAAAAATAAGTTAAATGTTAACATAATAATGATTATTCACTCGCAAATAGTTTTGTCAGGTAGCGGTCGAAATACTGACATACGACAACGAGGAAAAATATTATGTACTTTTCATTGCACGTAAGTACCTGTAATCTATTTTCCTACTTCCTTAAATGAACGCTTGAGTAAAGCGAAAGACGAATAGAACTATTATCGGAAAAAAAAACAGAAATTCTATTGAAGGAATCTTATTATTACTTGACAAAATGTAATTGAAATGGAAGATCGGTGCCCTAGAGGGACGCGGCCAATGCATGGTCAATCCGTTCGTTTCATCCAGTCGTATACGTTGCTTATCAGCTTTGAGAGCTAACACGAATTTGTATAGTGTACAGGTCACAGAAGCAACGAGTAATACTCGACGATACTCAACAAAGCAAATGACCTTCATTATAACTAACCATGGTAATCATTTGTTACTACGATAAGTTGGTTGGCTAAGGTCCTATAATAATAATAATAACTGCAACTGGTACGGTTTTTGATTGGGTCCTCTGTTTGGTTTCGCTAAAAAATGTAAAAAGCGCCTCCAGCATTGGCAGCAGGTGGTTTTCCATAGAATCAGTTAGGACACAGACTAATTTCATTTTAATGACAGATATAAAACAACGTGAATTATCCGCAGTGGATAATGATCGGATTTTTGAGTAACGAATGAAGCAAAAAATCGTTTTTAGCCAAACCTCTAGACAGGTACGCAGCAGCCGTGTTGCACCTGTCGCTCACAAAGCTTTAAGGGGTTGATTCGGGTATCTTGTACATTATGCATTTTGTAAGCCTGACAACACGCAGGAAACTATTTAGGCACACTCGCTACCTTTCGCCTACAAAAATAAGTAACTAAACGGATAGTATCAAAATCATTTGTTCAATTCGACCCACTTTAATGTGTGGCACTGTTCGGAACAAATTTACCATTACGGTACAGCGCACTGTTGTGCTCCAAAATAATGTGATGGTCATTAGCAAATGTTCTGGGCTTTATGGTGGAATTATTATTCACCCCATACCCACCGACCATAAGTAAGTGTCAGCTGGGTCGCAATTGCGAGCGCACTCGTTTCACATCATTCTGTTTCTAATGTAAGAGCTTAACATCTAGTTATGTTGACTATTGCTGTTTGAGACAGAGGGTCCTTTCCTCACAAAACCAACCGGGCTCTGTTTGGAACCTAGACTCCAGACGGCCCTCGCAAACGTTTCGACCAGTACTCTGCGGAAACCTCTATACTTGAGATAATGAGATATCGATTTTGGTATTGGTGCTTGCAAATGAACTTTCTGTTAACTGGAATTTTATCCTCCGCTAAGATATCGGTGACACACCGGTGTCATACGAGATGATTACGTAATTGGCGATGATATAGCCTACACAACTAATTTTCGACTGCCAAATTGTAAATTCCTAAGTTAAACCTAGCTATAAGAAATACCCGCATGGGCTTGTGGTCTCTTCGTTTATGTTTGGCCGATTCTTTAGAGGGGGCTAGGTCCGTGAAAGCGCAAAGGCAGAAAATGCTCCGATCTAGCATGGCGTTCTGCTCATTCAAGTGTAGCTTATAATGAAAATTTATATTTATTAGTTGTTTATAGTAAAAGGCAAAGCAACAACACTTCTCAAACGCTGAGTTTCCCTAATTTATAACAGTAACATAATCAATTTTCAATTACATAGACGTGATCCCCTTAGAATTCGAACGGAAGTAACTGCAGATCGTTTATTTATAAGAAATTTGGTTACTGTTTCAGCTACTATCTAATTATTTTACGTTAACTTTCTTCTGCTGTGTCTTCTGCTGGAGCTGGAGACCTTCAAAAGGCCAATCTGAATTTTTGCATTTCTCATGCGTAGTCAGTTAGCTCCGTTTCGCAGTGCAACAAGCAGATGTATCGAAGCAACAATCATCGATCATCGTGATGATAATAATAAGCAGCAATTTAGTCAGGAGGCCTCTGGGATAACATCAATGAATTTCGTGCTTGCTTTTGGCTTGTCAGTCCTCTCCGTCCTTGTTTATTGCAGAAATAACCGGAAAGCCGTAAAGTACTCCATAGCAGAAGCTGGCCAAGCAGAAACTCCTCCTATATTTTGTCCCTTTGCTAACTATATAGATTACGGCTCATATTATATTCCAGTTCCAAAAGGTGTTCATCGACTGTTTCCGCTAAGCATAATAGAGTCACTCTGACACTATGGCTAATTCCCCGCTAGTCGATATCGAACTTTTTACATGACGCTAAATGATACCACTCTCAGAACACCGTTTAAGTGCTACTCATTCGCTAATCTTATCGGCCTTTTCGGTCGCCTACCCAACGCTATAGATTATCAACAAGACGAATGATCTCGACCCGGGCATTTGTGGGACGTCTCTGGAAATAACGTTTTTCGATCTGCGTCATCACTGTAGGGCCACTGTGGTGGTTTATCGAATAGTACGCAAATTATTCTATAACACGGCGGTGTCTATCAAGACAAATCTCACTAGATATCGTACCAGCATGCTGCCGATTCCGCAGCTAGGACTCAACTTTCTTAGACCACGAGAATTTCTTTCTTTATCCTTTACTGGTTTTCCTTTTGTAGGACATCGAATTAGCGCCGTTTTGTTTGCGAAAAGTGCCTTACATTAAGCAGGTCCAAAAGTGGCTTTGCGGTCGCTAATGGTTTAGAAGACGTTGCCCAGTATGATCCTGTTTGGCGTTCACTAATGCGTGCAAGTTCCATGACGAAGGATATCTGCTAATGTAACTGTGTTTAGTAATGTTGTTGCTTGTCCTATGCTCTGATTTTCGTCGTGTTAGATTTCTTGTAGGAATTTCCTACAGAGACAGTCACGCTGAAGTGGTTAAAAATTCAAATGCAGATTATCATTGGTCCTTCTTTAAAAAAAAACGCATAATTTAACTTAATAATCAGTTTAATAACAATAGATACTAATAGTGAAAAAGAAACACCGAAACCCCTCACCACCAGTTCGTTATCTCTGGATCAAAGTTCATCTAGGAACAAACGAAAAATCAACGAAATCCACTGTATCTTCGCCTAACTCTTTATCTGATGAAACCTTCGACCTTTCAGGTATAGGATATACTTGCGTTTCATCAGGTTAATGACCAGCCAATGACCTCTATGATTACGAGCTTGCGTTTCGCTGTTCGCAAAATGTGTCTTATTGACACAACTGTGCTTTCGAGAGATATCAATCTCATAATTTGATATACCCCGCTAGCGACACTATTTTTTGGTCGGCATCAAAAAGCTTCAAGGTACTCATATTTTTATTCGAGAGACCAATCTCAGTCAACTTGTAGGCTTGTTCCTCATATAAATAATCATAAGTGTTTCGGGTCATAACTCGCATTCTGCTAGTATCTTTGACTACAATGACCGCGGCTGTAATTCCTCGTAATCTCAAATTCGGATCTCTATTTCAATTCTCCGTACGGGGCGATCTTGAGTGAACGCTTGCCGTCTTTAAAAATGGAGGACTACGTTCGGTTTTAGATGCCTTTAGTATATGCGAGGTTTCCACGATGACTGGAAAGCATCACACGATAGTCTTCGTTAGATTCACTGTTCAAACTAATTATTAATGAACAAAATCGAAGGCATTTATTGTGTACAATATTTTACTAGACGGTGATCGATCTTGATAATTCACAGCGATAACGTGTCTAGCTAGCACGTTTTGATAGGAAAGTCTGCCCAGTTGACGAAATTACCATCCAATAAACAGGGTTACAAACACAGCGAAACAACGTACCTTTTTGCCCTAATTTGGCACATTTTTTTCGCAGCTGCTTATTTATTTTCAACCTTTATGCTTATTCGATTATTTATTAGGCTGGTTAGTGCTTGTCGTTTATATGAACAATCGTCTATACAAGCTAGCTGGAGGAATTTCGGCCAAATTCATATTCGTTACACGCAGCTTTTGTGCCCATGATATCGAACATGTATACAAACTGACTGGCCTTCATCAGGCCCCATCGTGTCTAATATATATATATATATATATATATATACCAAATCTAAACAAGTCCTTATTTACTTACCGCACTGCTGTACGTTCTGGACCTTGTAGAGTTCTCCGGCATACGCCGCAGAGGCTATTGCAGCCAGCATGACAAATCTAAGCATTTTGTCAATTAATGATTTGTTCGTCAAAAGAACACTAACTCAATTAATGACAACAGAGATCTTCTCTCAAGTCAAATTGAATGAAGGCGTTTAACAGGTAACTTCAGTAACGACGATAATCATAGCAGCACCAGCAGCAATCTACAAATGGCCGAGCTGTCGACGATGGACGTCACTTTCACACGCGAAGAGAACGCCTGGCTCACCAGTAACCGTGTACTATATAAGCCGCTGCGGCAATACCCTTCGCTGTTCGCTGCAGACGCACGACGTCGTGTTTTGACACTTTTGACCGCGATGGTAGCAGCGTCATCCCTCGATTAGACACGCGGCCATGTCCACTTTACGGGATTCATTGATGGCAAAAAACAGAAAGGCGAAAAAGAAACGGTTATCGATTCTCTATCGTTGCTTCTGCTACGAGCAGACGGATATTCAGCGAACTGCGAAAGTGAATTAGTAGCGTCGAGCAAGCAAATCGATAGCTTGAGCATTGGTGATACGCCAAACGGAGAGGGGGGCAGCTTGAAGCAGTCGAGAGAAAGGAGTCTATGTGACAATATTAAGGGGAGTCGAGTCCCTTGATCGAAGCCGGCGTCGTTGGAGGCGAGGGCGCGTACATACATTCACGATGAACCAACAGTAATAGCGATCGGTCGAAGACAACGAGATCACTCGATCATCTAAAAAGAATTAGATGAACAGAGTCTTAATACAGAGTTACAATTCGGTCAGAAAGTGATGGGCGACAAACGTACAGATAGATTCTTGCCTATTAAGGGCCTCGAGAACCGAGCAAGAAACGGAACGATTTAAAGAAGATTATACTGCTAACACAACGTTGAGGGCGCTTAGGAACGGTTAGGATGGACGGGCTTTCGCGGAGTAGTAACACGATTGATAATATGGAATGTCCAGAAAATAATATAGTATGTTACAGGGAAAACAAAGTCGAAAAAAAGACCTGTCGTTACGTAATGTTATTGTCGATAATGTTAACACAGTTTCGGAGATGAAGTTACAAATTTCACAATTTCAAAACAATACTTTGGTGATATTATTAGCTGCAGAAAATTCATACGCGCGAACTAGGACTTGATAACGCGATCATAACGTCCGATATGTTAAGCGAGGCATACATGTAGTATCAGGTAGATATATTTCACTTCAATGAGCGATAATTAGAGCAATCCGATAGTGGATGCTGATAATTAACACTACTGACGCTTGACGTGTAATTATTGAGCTCTGATAATATATATTTCGAGTCTTACGTTTGGTACGTCCTGGGTTAAGCCTTTGTTTGAATGTCTGGTTCCCGACCGTGTATCTAAGCCAGGCTTTGAACCTGAACCCCACATTATTAAGTGTCCCTATGTTTAGTACGCAGGGTCAAATCAACGCCTTTTTTTTAGAGCATCGCGAGTGAAAGCTATTGTACAGGTGTGTCCTTAATATCTAGTAACGAACCAGCTGTATAGAAAAGTGCTACAGATCAATAACCGTAGTGTAAGTTGAGAAGTTCGTTGTAGACCGAAGTGATCATCGGTAGCTGATATCGACAAAGTTCCTTCGGTTTGCAGAGAATGTGTGAACGCTGTTTAGCCTCGAAGAATCGTAGTTTTATCCATGTGTGCTGCTCGTAAAGGCCTAATAATAGTTGATGAACTCGTCAGCGAGGCTTTTGCACAGATACGGTTGGCTTTTTGGTGTTAGCCAGGGCAATCTATAATATATTGTAAGTATAAAAACGCTAAATTGTTTATATAATAGCCTTCTCAATAAAAAAACAATGCTGTCTTAGTCGCCCATTTACTAAATTACACTTTGTTCAGGCCTAGCAGAAATAATATAAAAACACAATCCTGTTAGTCTTGTCCTGCGCATCAGCCGAGGGATAAGAACAGCGTCGAGCTGTAGAACGATTCACAAAAAGAGTACTAGTATTATTAGACTAGTCCTCTTTCCACATAAAGCGTTGTTCCGCTCCTTGATGTCCAAAAAATAATGAGGCGTACGATGCGGGGTTAACATGTCGACAACAATGGACCTCGTGAGGTATAGTGCCGCTAAAACAATTTCATTGCGGCTCAGTGTGTGGAGGATGCGCGACGGTCATGCTATTGTAGTTACAACTACAATTAACTTATTAACTGGTTTAGGAACTCGTACTCCTTTGGTTGGCTCGGTCGCACTCTAGACGTACATAATATCGGAAAAAACTTATCTCTAAGTTTGTTGTGCGCAGAGGAAAAAAAATCATGAGAATTGGCAAAACGGCAGTCAATACGCGAATGCTATTCTAAATAATTTCATATCGACAAGTTAACGAAGTCGATCGATCTATTAATTCAGCTGTATAAATAAGATATCATATTATTATTTTATCAAGTTAAATAAATCAGTTCACGAATAGGATAGCAATAATTTCATAAAAAAAGCCTGTATTTCGTGGCTCCACAAACGTCTTCAATGATACCAGTACGATGCGTTTCAGTGCAGGCCCCTTTACAAGAAACGTTTATGTTTGAGAAATATTTTTATGCTCAATACTGGTTTTCACCATGGTAGAGTTATTCTTCGCTTTTGTTGAGTAGCTAATCGGCTAAGTAATAATTTTCTTTATGACCCTGCAAATGACACACATGTACAAAAATACCTGCATAAATAGGCAAACGTAAATACAACATGGGCAGGAGTCTATAAAGCCACTAAACAATTTCTTGAAAAATGACCCATATCATACGTTCAGTATTTTAAATTGATGTCGGCAAGCCGGCACAGCAAATAGCGAATACCTGATTGTAATTGTGTCTAATCTTTAACTCATGCGGGTAAAACGTACGTGTTTCTTAAAACTTTTTTTTAGACATAACTTACGTATTCAAAGGGCTACTATATTCGTTTGTTTGCTTCTAACAACGCAGGTACTAACACCAATGAAGATTGCTCTATAACGCAGACACATATCTGACAGCATCATCAGTGCACCTTCACATATATATATATATGCGATCAGCTAAGTCAAGTTAGAACACGCCGTTGAACGGTGCTTAAGTCCACTTCGTTTCCTTTTAGTTCGCATACAACACCCGTGATACGACTGAACGGCAGCTAAAATAAATATATCGAGTAATCCCTTTCAGATAGCAAGCCATCTATTGTAAGCTTAGGGACTTACCTGCGTGTACGAAAAAATAACCGCACTGCTAATCAGGCACCGTGTTAGAAATAAGCGTTTAACAATGGACGTCACAGTGGAATCTATTGACGAGGGCCTTGGGTAACGTTCATCGCTTACGCAGCCAAATAAACACAAAAGTCAGCCTTGTTATATTTTTTCTTAAGAAGCCTCATTCAGCTAAAAATAACAATAATTAAAATGAATTTTTATTATGGAAATGCCTAATTACTAGGGGACGTATGGAGATGGCATAAATGAGAAACTTTAGTACTGCATCGTCCATTCACTGCAGAAGGGTATAACACACCAACGTTGACAATCGTACTTTGGTCGCTGCAATTATAT